CTTTTCTTCTCTGTAATGGCTGCAATAGCTGCACTAATAGAGTACTTGTTGTAGAGCCTACAAATTTAATTTTTATAATAAAGCTACCCTTCATCTTAAAATTGGTGTTGACATGCATTGTAGAGATCCATGAATCCCTAGAAGAATTTTTTTTCGAGAACACACCTTTGCGTCTATTTCGTTAAGAGAGAATCCCTAGAAGAATTGTATGGCTCCATTGTAAATAGGCTTTTTGAACCATTTGATTATAATCTAAACAATTAAATACCAAAGTGATTGGTGGAGGATCACTTTTGATTTCCCGGTATAACCTGTAAAAATAGGATGTAGGTATAACACGTAGAAAAGATGGATTAAAGGGAGAAAATCTAAAAGGATTGTGCGAATTAGATGCTAAGTGTACTTAAGCATATCAATGTCGTCCAAATATGATATCGGTGAAAAAAGAAGTCTTATATAATAAAACTGATTCATTCACTGCTTTCTAAGATATGTATGACGTACAGATTAGAACAAGATACCCGCCGGTACTATAGATAAACTATAAATCCGTACACATCCTACGTTGGGGGATAAGGTATTGTTTGGACAAAGCTACGTACTGTACCATACTGTTTAATCTTAGGTATAGATTAGGACCCAAGTCTATTAGGACTTATGAATTTACAGATGATGCGCATCATATCTCTAAAGCGGAAGTCGTGCAAGCATACAAGCCTATCTAATGACATCTTCCGTATAGTAATTATTATGTAACTTCCAAGTGATGCAAATGCATCCCTCTAAAAATATGCAAAAGTTGACCTTCACGGTAAATTTGGCATATTGAAGTGGTAGTGTACATACATATTAGGTTCAAATCAATATTCTGGAAGGGCAAAAAATACCATTTGACAAAAAAGAAGGAACACATCATCAGAAACTCCCACAAATTAGCTTAATTCCTAGCGATGCGATATATACATATATAAATTTACCCATGCATCTATTTTAATTTATTATGTGTAAAAATTTAGATGATGACAAGAATTTCACAAGGAAATTGTGGATCTAGAAATATTAAGAGCTAGATAGCTACTTACAACTATTGACTGTATATATTACTCTAATATACAGTGGTATATAGGTCCAGTCACTCTCAGTGGAAGCTATCAAAGGGTCCAGAAGATAATCCAATAGTGAACAGATTGTATACTACAACACAATAGTGAACAGTTAACAACTTTTGACTTTAGTATATGCATGATCCAGAATCGGAAACGTACGCATGAAATTTCTCTAGCAAAGTTCCAAGCACTACCGGAAACCGGCTCTTTGCCGATTGTTTTTCTGTTTGCCGAGTGCATTTCCTCGGACACTCGGCAAACAAACTCTTTGTCGAGTGCTGCGAAAAAAACACTCGGCAAAGCTACTGATTCCGGTAGTGAAGGGAGTTACTGATTATTGTTCCAGCTAGCCTTTCGATTGAAAGGAACAGATCAAAGCCAAAGAGATTAGGCCGAATCACCATGCATCTTTGAGTTGCGTGACAAATGCATTATCATGTGCCTGATTGTGACTTCTAGTTAGGTAAAAATATGGAAGAGACTTCAATTATTTGATGAACAAGTGCTTACTTCTTAGGCAACCAATTAATTCACGTGCCAGTTTCAAAAAAAATTCACGTGCCGTTTTATCTGCGGTACTACTACACAAGGGGAACAGATTTTGAAAGCAAAATATGCCATATAGTTTATTTTTAAAAAATACCATATTGTGCTTACCGTACAAATCTCCAAGTATTCTACTGAGAAAATTACAAGTAGCGCTGGTAGCTTAGCGCCTTAGCTCTTCTATTAATTTCTAGAGGCAACACGTGTGAATATAATTAGCATTTTGTCCGTAAAACAAGTACATACGATGGAATGATTATATTAGACTAACTTTGGATATCATTCTCAATTTTGCAGATTTGGTAATGTTTGTCTACATAACATATATTCAACTTGTTCGTTTATTGGTTTCAGCCAGGCTTATCAGTCAGTCAACAGTGTTTTCCTTTCACAACAAGCCAGCACCAACCGAGCTTATCAGCCCAGAAACCAACCAGCAAACATGCCGATTAACAGTAGTATAGCCAAATAAAGTCAGTCAGTACAGTGTGCCTTAGGTCAAATGTCTTGTCCTAAACTATTCCTTCGTGTTCCCGCAGAAATGTCAGTGTTCTTAAACAATTATAAACCACCAGCAGTAAACAAAACTGACTGTCAATTTGACAGAAATTTATACATATAAGCACACTACAGTGGGAAGGATGGGGTTAAGTTGTGTCACATAACATCAAGCATCTCTAAATTTCTATAGCATTGAATATAAAAGGCTCAACTTTCATATCACATATGTCCTGGAAACTAAGGAGCAGTTGTAATATCAAGTTCCAGTGTTTGAAAGAATACAACCTTGAATCTAGCTAGTCCAAGTAAATATGTGGAAACTGCACTTATTTAAAAGGGAATGAATCTCGACAAAAATTTGTAGACTTTTGGAAACTAGTATTTTTTTTGCAAAGTTGAGAATATAATAGGTTAATGTAGCTATCTTTGTACAATGCCATCATATGTCATACCGATCTACAAGTTCAATACCGCACAATAACACAACAAATGCAAAGTTCAACAAAAGGGGAAATGCCCACATCAGAGAATTAAAGATCATAAGCTTTCATACTTCAGGAGCAATAATGAAGACAATTTTCAGAACACTCAACCATGCATTAGTAACCACGAAAAAAAAAAAAATACATCTGCAACCAGCAGTACTACAATCCTAAAAGAAGACCAATGCCATCTTAAATTAGGGCATTGGCTAAACTATTTATAATAAACAACCCATAATCAGGCATTAATGCGATATAATTTTAGAAAAAAATAAATATAAGCCAGAAGTATATATATGCACACAATACCATTTCATCAAAAACATAAGTATGGGCTATGGCACATGACACATGGTTACATGGTAAATACACATTATTTTGAAGCAGTAAAAGTCCTTAACAAGCATAATGTTTTTTTTGTCGATGAAGTTTGAAGTTGCAGCATAAGTAATGTTGCACGTGCAAATAGATTAACCATACATTAAATTATCTGATACCGAACGCATGTCGATGGTTAGCAATAAATCATCATATGATGATTGATTTCTCACAAAGGCCCTATACTATATATATGCATATTTTTGGTGCAAGGTAGAGCCTGAGAGACCAATAATACTTGATTGCCTCATTGTTCAGTGTTCGACTAACAATGTGTTTCTCAAGAATTAAAGGCGTAACATAATAGTTTCAAAAGATGGCAAGGCAACAGTTCTTCATCCTTGGATAGTAACAATAATATTGCAATAATCTTTAGTGGTGTACTTCCTCCGTTCCAAATTATAAGTCAATTTGACTTTTTTTCATCCATTTTGTTATGTATCTAGACATATTATTATTCTAGATACATAGCAAAATAGATGTACCAAAAAAGTCAAAGCAACTTGTAATTTGGAATGGAGGGAGTATCAAAAAATGTTTGCAATCTTTAGTGGTGTATCAAACAATGTTTTGACTTTGATAAAAAATTTTTGAATGAACTTGCTCCACTAATCCTAAAAACAGGAAAAAAAACTGGAAAAGGGAGAACATTTTGCAGAAATTGAATCTCCCATGATTTCGGGGAAAAAAATAGAGAATGATCAGCACGGCTTTTTGACCAGGGCAATATTACAACATGTACTAAATTATTTAGTTATGTGCTGACAGTACTTCTTCAACAAGTGCAATTGTGTATTTCCAATCATAGGCACTACACGTGTGTATAGGAAATAATTTTTTTAGAAAGGATGTGTATAGGAAATATAACTAGTTGAAATGACACTTAAATTAGGATGGGAAAAATAACCTGAGATGACAATTAGATTGGTGATGTGATGTGATATAATGCTGGTTCGGAATATGGGTTGGGATCCCACAGTGGCGAACCATGTTTTCAAATACCAAACTTGGAAACATTGGTGACGCTAATCAGGACTGATACAAGCACATAACTAGCATTCCTTTTTTCCAAGCATCTCGTCATTTGATTCTTCTGGAGACATATATATATAGAGATCTGACTCCGCCAGCCTTCTTCCCTGAGCATATGATGACTGGACTGGAAGAAATCTCTCTCCACTCTCCTCTCTCCTCTCACCTCCTCTCACTCACCACCCTCCCATCTTCTCTCTCTCTCTCTCTCTCTCTCTCTCTCTCTCTCTCCATATACAGCTACACCTATCATTCATACCAAATTTGCAACTAAAAATCAGGTAGCACAGTAACTACTTGCTAGGAAACTAGGGTTCAGCTTTTGAAGAGAAAAGTAAAAGCAAAGGTGTCACTCCCTATGGAATAGACACACAGGAGTAGCTAGAAATACTTGAGCAAATATGCGAAGAAGCCTTAAGTACCCACATTCTATATATGCATGACACCACCAGGGGACAGCATCATCACCACCATTGAACAAAGATGAAAGGAAGAAACAATGGCAAGAGGAGCGGGAGAGCATCAAGATAGCCCACTCTTCACCAGGCACCAGCATCAGGTTACCTAACTGTCAGGTTTTAAACTTTGAATCATGATGAACACTGCTCCCGAGCTAGCTAGTCCAAGCTTTTTATATAATATATACCTCTAGTAACCTGATGGGCTAGCTACTACTACTACAGTAGTAATAGTATGACCCTAATAAAGAAACAGTGATGAACGGTGCTCATCAGTTTATGCATCGATCATTGAGATTGAAAGAGAGAAGCAAGAGGGATGGGGGAAGAAGGAAACAAATAAAAGCTGCTAGTAACAATTTGGTGATGATCGATAATCCTTCTAGTAAAAAACAAATATTGAAGCAGTGGATAATGGAGAGATGCATGGCAAGTCCGAAAGGGAATGAAACCAGATAGCAGGCTAGCCGTGTCAATCGTGGTGGCCGTACGTTTGATCACCTCGGATGGCCGTGGAAGAAATGCGCGCCGCCGCCGTAGGGGCCGGGCGTCGGGTACGGGTCCATGACCACAGCCGATGACGAGACGGGCCCCGCGACGCTGCCTTCGCCCGCCGCGGCCGTGCTCGGGGAGGACCCCTCGGTGGCGTGGCAGAAGCCGCCGCCGCCGCCCGCAGCGACCGACGGGTCCGGGCCGACGTCGTGCAGGATGCCCTTGAATATGTGGCCGGCGATGCTGACGCTGGTCTGGTACGCCACCTCGGCGTCGGGCTCGTCGACCGGGCCCAGGAGGACGCAGCGGAACAGCGCATCCGAGCTCACCTCCCGCGGGAACCGCTCCGCCACCACCGCCATCTGCTGCTGCTGCTCCCCTGATCGATCAATAAAGCACGCACATGGTGGTCTCGATCGATTAGCAAGCAGCTAGCTAAGTTAAAAGATTATTAGGTACGATGGTGATGAATTGCTTGCTTATTAGCAAGCTAGCGATTAGTGAAGGAAGATGTGCAGACGTGCAGTGCAGTTTATATAGCATAGCAGCAACAAATTAAAATACGTACCCCACGAAGTGGTAGTGGCGGTGGTAGAGGAGGGCTGGGCACCGGCGTCGCGGTGGCGCTTGGAGGGCTCGGCGGCGCCGGTGGCCTGCTGCTGGTGTCGCTCTCGGCGCTTGGCGGCGGGCACCCAGGTGGACTTGACATGGGTGGGGCAGTCGAAGCCCCGGCTCTTGCAGCAGGTGCGGCAGCGCATGTGGACGCAGTCCTTCTTGGCCTGGTTGCCGCAGTCCTGGCAGCTGATGGTGCCCGCGCCGGCGCCTGAGGCGGAGCCCCTGCCGCCGCGCGAGGAGCCCGCGGCTGCCGCCATGGGGTCATCGGCGAAGCGGATGATGTTGGGCGCGTAAAAGTGGTGGTGGTGCTCCTGCGCCGGGTGGTGCGGCCATAGCTGGAACCCGCCGCGCGGCGCGGAAGCGGCGGCGGCGGCCGTGTAGAGGTAGGCGGCGGCGGACTCGGAGCCGGAGCCGGAGGAAGGGTTCACGTGTGGGTGAGGGTGGTCGCCGCGGCCGTGGCCTCCTCCGCCTCCGCCTAGAGGGAAGCCCGCCATGCGGCCAGATCCATAGGCGGCCCGCGCGGGCAGTGGCGGATCGATCGCCCGTGTCCGGCTCTCTCTACTGCGTTGCTCCTCCCCGCCGCCGAGCCGACGCCCGCAGCATGGCCGCGCCGCGTGGCGGGTGCGCGCGAATTTTGAGCGCTCGCTCTCGCGCGGCCCGGCCGGGCGGCAGCCTAGCTAGCAGCGAGCGAGAGGTGGTGCAGCTAGCGGGTAGCTAGCTAGCTGTGTCGACCGATCTAAGGTGGCTAGCTAGTTTGCGCGTGCAGGCGTAGTGGGGTTTCCCTAGAATTTTGGCGTGTCTGCGCGTGAGGAGGTGAGGGAGAGGGAGGGGGAGGAGGGAGAGGAAGGTAGTAGGAGGAAGAGGAGGAGCTCGAGTGAGGTGAGCGCCGAGGTAGCTTTAATTTTGTGTGGTGAGGTTATTGGTCTTCAGGTTGATTGAAGTGAAATATTCTGGTGAAAATATTGTTGAAAGAATTGCTGCTGTGGTTGAGAGGTTTGGTCTGATTGATAAGATTTTTGTTATCACTTTAGATAATGCTTCTTCTAATGCTAAGGCTATGGAAACTTTGACACCCATGTTTACTGGTTATTTGGGTTGTCATCCTTCACCTGAGCCTCTAGATCCTAATAAATATAAGTATACTCTTGTGCATCAACGTTGTGATTGTTATATAATTAATCTGATTGTTAAATCTAGACTAAAGAGGTTGAAACCTTATCTAGAAGATTTTAGAACTGTAATTAATTTCTTGAATTCCTCTAATCAAAGAATTGCTATGTTTAAGAACTACTGTAATGCTAAGGGTGTTAGACCTAGAAAGTTTGGCTTGGATATGGATGTTAGATGGAATGCTACTTTATCTTATGCTGAAACACTTTGTTCCATATAGTGTAGTTTTTTCTGTGTTCATTAATTCAAATTATGGATCTGCATTGTTGTCTCCAAATCACTGATATGTTGCTGAGAAGATATTGGAGTTCCTGGAACTCTTTTATGACTGCACTGTTGTTTTATCTGGTGTTTATTATCCCACCAGTTCACTTGTACTGCACTATGTTTTGGAGATTGCATCTTATTTGCATGTTGCTGAAAGAGACTAGAATCTCAGACAAATTATGTATTCTATGAAGCTTAATTTCCTTAAATACTGGCAGGACATACCTCTGTTATACTCATATGCATTCATTCTTGATCCTAGAGCTAAAATAAGAGGTTTCCATAGGGTTCTCCAATTACTTGCTGAAAGCACTGGTACTCAGTACAATTCATACTATGATGATGTGAAAACTGAATTATATAAATTGAAATATGAGAGGAAGTTTGATGCAGTTAAGTCTCAAAGGATTACACAGCCTTCAAACCATACAGGTAAGAGAAAACAAGCTTGGGGAAGAATCTTTGGAGGAGTAGGTGTTGTTGGTCCTTCCCCTGCCACCACTTCATCTTCTTCTACCTCCGCTGCTTCTGAACTCTCAGTCTATTTAGACAGTGACAATGTCACTTCTTATGAGGATGATTTTAACATACTTTTTTGGTGGCATGATCACAATCTAACCTATCCAATCCTATCTATAATGGCCAAAGATATTATGTCAGTTCCTGTGTCTACTTGTTCTTCAGAATCTTATTTTAGCTTATCAGGAAGGATCATTGAAGAACAGCGTCGGCGTTTGTTACCTGAAACTGCTGAGATGCTAACCTGCTTGAAGGACTGGGAGTTAGGAGAAAAGAGGGAACAACATGCAGCTGCTGATAACAAAGAGCTTGAAGAAGCATTCAAGAATTTGTATCTTGATGAAGATGAAGGTGGAGCTGCTATTGCTGGTGACTGAGAGTGAGACTAAGAGTGAACTCGATGAAGATGAAGGAGCTACTGCTGCTGGTGACTGAGAGTGGACTTGAATACTTGATGAAGACGAAGATGAAGGTGGAGCTGCTGCTGCTGTGCTTTTGTGTGAGTTGAGAGTGGACTTGTCACTCACTTACTTGTGTAACATTTGTATTTGAACAATGGTCTGTAATAACTTAATACAATCTTTAGAGCTGGCAACACTTTTTTTTTCCTTTCTAAGATTTCTCACAAATGTGAGTTTTACCTAGAAAGGTTTTTAATGAGGCAACATTGCACAAATAGCTCATTCTGTTATCTAAGTTTCTGTTATCTATGTCGTTCTGTCGTTCTTATGAGTTGATACTTATTATCTATGTTGAATTGTCGATGTCGTTCTGTCGTTCTTGTAAGTTCATAAGTATGGAAGTGAAACTGTGAGTTCAAAAGTTATTGTGATCTTTTCTTACTTGGTTGCCAAAGTGTGAAAATGTTTGAGCCTTTGAGGAGATGTGTTCTCTGAGGTGTTTCATGTAAACCAGGCTGTGGATTGGCACGGCCTGCAAATTCTGGCGTGCCTGACGGGCTGGCCTGGCATGAAAAAAGACCCATAGGGCCGTGCCTAGACCGAAGATTAGGCCCACGTGCCTACTCAGCCCGAACCCCATCGGGCCATGCCCGCCCGTTACCATGCCGGGCCGGGCCAGGCCGGTCCGTTGCCCATCTATTATTGAGGTGAGTGATGAAGAGGCCGGGGCAGAAAGCCTCAGCGGACGGAGGGCCTGCCACGCCGCCAACGATCCTGCACTGCACGCTCCCAAAACGTCCAAATTATTAATGTACTGTACTCACACACTCTCTCTCTCTCTCTCCATCGCGTCTATCACTACGTAGAAGTAGAACTACTGTACAGGTACATTATACGACGTCGTACTTGTATTTGCTCGCGGGTGTACACGAACTACTACTACTATACAGTACTACTCTCTCTCCCTCTAGCTCTACACACGCCGTATCATCAGACACTGTTCTTGCACATGGAAAAACACACACACGGCTAGCTAGCCACAGACGCCGTATCATCGAGAGTGGAGGAGGACTATACAGAGCGCGAATGCGTGATGATTGGCCGCTGCGATGTTCTTTCCGGCGGGCCTTTTCAGAGGAAAATTCCTAACGGCCTGGGCATTATTAAACCCCCTGGCCCTGACGCAACCAACGCGATGGGTGCTCTGCGGCTGTCTTTATCTCCTCGCGGCGCCCGGCCGGCACATTTGCTGCCGGCCCGCCGCGCGCCACCGTGCCCGCTCCGCTTTTCGGTGGCCATGACGGGCCAGGGGCGAGTTGGCCGGAAGAATGGGCGGGACCGAGAGCGGGACAGCAGGCGATCTAGCGGAGATCTGCGTGACGTCATACGTGACAGGCCCTTGATTTCCGACCACCTGCTTGCCTGCACACCCAGAGCAGGAAGTCGTCCGTCCCGGTTTGTAGGGCGCGCACTATTCTTGGACTCGCCACTCACCTAGGTCAACTAACAATAAAGAGAAAGACGTATGTATATTTTAGTATATATATGTAAACTCGATCATCATCTGATGTTTGCCATGACAAATTGATTCAGTTCATCCTCCTCCAAAGGAGAGGTCTCGAGCCCTGTAAATGCAACCGTTTATAGACTTACTATATTAGCATTTTTTTTTTGTTGACCACATACTACATGATATTATAGATGGATATAGATATAGTGCGGCTTTACCATATATGTATATGCATGTATATGTGTATCAAACGAAAACACTTAGTCCTGTGACAACTGACAACTTTAGCTGCTATCAAAATCTGCGAAATTCAAATACATATGAGCCATATATAAACACCTCCATTTTTTCTTGACTTTTGACTTTTAACACGGAGAGTTGGTCAAAAGATAAATGGCATCATACGGTCATACCCTGCCAATATTTTACTTCCACACAACCTCACATGCTCCCTGAGATCAAACAGAGATAGTACCGCGTGTGCCTCGGTTACTGATGATGATTTTCTCTAATCCTTTTTACTACATGCTGTGTACGTACGCTGCTTGCATTGTTTAATCCATCTTGCGGTGGCCCGAGAGTGAATTCTGGGGGGCACCGCTAACCAACAACCACGTACGCACAGGCAGATTCTTGTACTGCACATGCCGCCGAACGAAACTGTTTCTTACTTTTGGCTGCGAGTTTCATACTAGTAATTGTGGTTTTCCCTCAAACAGTAGAATTCAACAGTGATGCCCCCCCTTTTTAGCTCTTTTTTTTTGAAAATTTTTCACAAATATGATCCTAGAGGTAAGATTTTAAAATCTGGACCGTTAGCTCGGCGCCATCGTTGCTGCCACCGAGCTTACACGTCTCGGCGCCAGAAAGGCTCGAAGCAGACGTGATGGTAATTTGGCAGGCACCTCGGCGCTATAGATCTTGACGCCGAGCTCGGCGCTAGGGTTACTGGCGCCAAGCCTGTCTTACGTATGGCCCCAATCCTTTCTCTCTTCCTGCCCCTCTCTCTCTCTCTCGCACCTCCCTCTCCTCGACCGAGCACACATCGCCGCCGCCGCCCGCCGCCTCTCTCCTCCTCGCCGCCGCCCGCCGCCGCCACGCCGCCGCCCGGACGCCGCGCCGCGCCACCTCGCGCCTTCGCTCGCGCCGCGCCCGCGCTCGTCCCTCGCGCCGCGCGCCACGCCCGCGCCACGCGCGGCCGCCAGCGCCCATGGCCGCTTTTTGGCCAGGCCCACCGCGGTTGGGCCCGTCGCCCGCTGTGCCGTGATGCCGTGCCATGCCGCACCACGCCCACGCCATGCCGCCCATGCCCGGCCTCGTCCGCCATGATGCCCGCCACCGCCGGCCTCGCCGCGCGGAGCGCAGGGCATCCCGCACCCACCGCGCGCCACCGCCGTCCTCGGCAACGCCCCTAAAAGCTCTAGTTTGGTTTTGGTTAGTTGATGAAACCCTAAGTGTTAACCTAGTTTATCAAAGCGATTATAAGATAGGTAGCACTATTCCAACTGGTGAAGCAAATGAAGATAATGACATGATGATGGTGATTCCATGGTGATGATCAAGTGCTTGGACTTGGAAAAGGAGAAAGGAAAACAAAAGGCTCAAGGCTAAGGTATAAGTGGTAGGA